TATATATGTTTATATATACATGTATATTCATTCAAACTGTTCCATAGCTTCACTCCACATATTAAACTGCAAAAAAAGGTTTCTGGTTGTATGCACACTATGAGTTTTGAAATTACATAATTACATAATTGGAGAATAGAAAGTGAATGCAGTGCACTTTTGTAACTGTTGCCCCAAACCGCTGAAACCATAATTTAAATATGGGAAAACTAGTGACAAGTAGAGAATATATAGCGATGTGTGGTCCAGGACCTGCTTCGCTTTGTGTAAAACTGGAATGCCTCTTGACAGTTTGTACATGTTGTGTGATTTCCAGTCGATTTTCTCATCTATTGTCACCCCAAGAAATTTGATTTCATGCACTCTTTCAGTGTTTATCTACCTGAATCTGTACTGGTGTGTTTCTTCCTACAGTTTCACATTATCAATTTAATTTTATAAATTATGCTTTTGAGCACACAGCCATCACTCATTTCCAAAGTGCAGAGACCAGTATCTTTTGCCACTTGTTCTGCCACTTGTTCTGCCACCTACTGCATAACATCGGCCTAAAAAATGTATTGTCCTATAACGAATATATGTCTTATTGAGTCATGCCTAAGAGCCTGACTGCATGACAGAGTACAATGCCCCTCTGCGTAGGGACAGTATTTACAAATAGAGTCCATGTGACAGCTAGTGTACAAAATGTCAATGTCTGAGGAACCAGCTCAGCACTGTTTGAGCAGGGAGGTCATTCTCAGCTGTTATCAATCTGCCTGTTGCTCCTGAGGCCTACAGGTTGAAGATATCCACAGCTGGGGCTGTTGAAACTTGGCTTCACTCCAGCCTCTTATCTATAGAGCCATGTTGCCTTTCACTGCAGTTAAGGACGTATTTTGGCCCATCAACAAAACAAAAAGTAATTTTGTTTTAATATATTATAAGTCTGGTGTAGGTTTGGCTCATTTAGCCAACAATAGTGTTTTTATTGCAAACAACAATGCACCAACTCTTTAGCTAGTAATTTGTAATGTTTATGTTATTGTTTACATCTTTTGTAAAATACTTGTGAGAGCTAGAGCTAAATGGACACTGACCAAAATAATCCAGTGTCCATACTGGATTCAGATTTGTTAAAATGCAGTAAAACCCCAGGGCTGGGTTCAACCTCCTGCAGACCCAGGTTTAAAATAACCAGTAGGCCTCTATTGATATGCCACCACAATATACAGAAAACTCAAACAGTTATAGACAATATTTTATAAGGACTAAATGACTATGTGTATGTGAATGATCAAACTTTTCAATTCAGTTCAATTCAATATTTTTTTGTTCAATTTAGTTCAGTTCAATTCAATTCAATTCAATTCAATTAACTTCACTTCACTTCAGTTATTTATAAAGCCCAATATTACAAATCACATTTTGCCTCAGAGGGCTTTACAACATACAACCTCCCTCTGTCCTTTGGACCCTCACAGCGGATAAGGAAAAACTCCACAAAAAACCTTTAACGGGGAAAAAAAATGCTAGAAACCTCAAGACCAACTGAGGAAGGATCCCTCTTCCAGGATGGACAGACATGCAATAGATGTCATGTGTACAGAGCAGATCAACATGATAAATGTACAGTGATCCGTTTGACAAAAATGATACATCAAGAGGGAGAGAGACAGAGAGAGATGCAGGGCAAACAGTAATGACAATAGCTACAATAGCATTTATTTTAGTAATAATATAATACTAGTCCATACCCATTGAGTGCACAAGTAACCCAGGTCTCTAGTGGGTAAATAAAACTAAACTATGTGAAACTCTGTGAAACTGTGTGAATGAATGTCATGTGAGTTAAGTAGCCAATCAGAGCCGCAACGGAGTAGCCTCAGCACTACTAACAAAGAGTGGATACACTGCTTAGTCAGATGAATGGGGAAGCTGAGAGCGGAGCAGCTGCAGACGGCTACGCTGTGTGAAACGCTGCTGAGGAACTCTGGTTGCATGAAGGCTCTTGATGAGTGAATTGGCCAGGCTTTTTGACTATGGAGAAACTTGAGCATGAAGAACGCATGATGGCGAGCTAATTCGAACCTAAACTGGACCAAGAAGAACTTTGATCTACTGCAACCAGCATCTCACCTGCCAAGGCGGTAGGCCACACTGCAGCCCAGCCCCATTCATCTCTTTTTCCCCCCTTCACACACACACACACTCAGGTATCCCCTGGATCAGCACATGAACCCCTCTTTGACTGAGTAATTGACTTTTGGACTAATTGATTCCCTAGACTGTGTTGGACACGGGAAACTCGTGGCGTGTGAAGAGGTCCACTATTTCAAACAGTTTTGAGTTGTGGTATTTTAGTTGTTTATGTTGAAATTGCATTGTGATGTTTTCTTTTCTTTTGGTTTAACTATCGGTTGAATTAGTGGAAAGAACAGAGCATTTATCTGCTTGGATCCAAAGAACATATTGCTTGGTGCACCAGATCTTAACATCTCTCATTTCTTTTTTTTTTCTTTCCTTTTTTAATTTATATAGTGCAATACAGACCATCAAACAATACAACACAAGTGAACAACACAAAACAAAAAAAAAAAAAACACGTAATACAGCACGAGACAAGAGGGGGAGCTAGATTTCAATATGTCAACAGTATCTATAACTATATAACTCTAACCAGAGAAACAAAGAAAAAAAAAAGAAGAAGAAGAAAAAGAAACAAATAAACCAACACAAAAACAAAATAATTTCGGACTTAGATTTTTTTCCTGTTTGTGTGTAGTATGCG